GCTCTTCAAATGAAAACTCCAAATCGAGTGGATCATGAATCTCGGGTCTCTCGATCTCATAGGAACTCAGGCAGCATTCATCTGCACTAGGAACGTATGTTGGGGCAATACTATTAAGAAAATTGTTATTCAGACATTCGGGTAGAGTGGAGATAGAGGGAGGTTTGGTGGAGTTCCTAAAATTTTTTACTCTCTGCCAAACTGTGGATATTGGTGTGGATGGGCTTAGGGAACCACAAAATCTCTGCCACCCCTGTCTTTTCTTTTTTTTGAACAATTTTCTTGACTCAGCCAAAATTCGCTTGAAACTTAGGAGATTTTCCAGGTTCATATCTTGGTTATATGTCTTTTCAGCTTCATTCCTAGCTCTTATCATGGCAGTGCATTCACTATCCCACCATGGAGGAGAAGGAATTTTGCTTTTTGGTGTGCTTTTCACCGGAAAGCAGTCTTCAGCTGTAGAAGCTATCAGGTCCGAAAATTTAGAAAAGCACTCCAAAGCATTCTCGGTATTTACTGGTGGAAGGGAAGAAATACGGTGGTCTAATAGTTTTGAAAACAGATCCCAGTCTGCTGAATTTAAACGATATTTTAATAGGGGGGGAAGGGGTTTATCTGGAATGGATTTTGAAGGATTTTTAATTATGATGGGATAGTGGTCACTACCATAGGACAAATTTAAACAACTCCAGTTTAGCATGCCAGCCATAGCAGGCGAGCAGAAGGTCAAGTCAACACAGCTGTTTCTTTGACCAAATGCAGACCTACGAGTAGGGCTGCCATCATTAATGACACACAAGTCGAGCTCGTCCAGCATCTCCACTAATTCATTACCCATTAGATCGCATATATCTGAACCCCATCTATAATGGTGGCAGTTGAAGTCACCATTACAAGCAATGGGCCACTTACCACGGATAGCAGATTTTTAATTAACCTAATGTGATTAACATGAGGGTGTGCAATATAAAATACAAATATATTTATGTCCTCAGCCTTAACAGCGACAACATTGATGTCATCGCCAACGAAGGGTAGAGGAATCTGGGTGAAGGGCACTTTGTTATTAACTAACAAAGCACAACCTCCATAACCATCAGATCTGTCATGTCTGACAACACTGAAACACGGGATCCCGAAATTAATATTCGGACGAAGCCATGTCTCAGCAATGCCACAAATCGATGGTTTAAATTTGTTAATTAAGTGGAGTAAGTCACTCTTCCTGGGAAGAGTACTCCTCACGTTCCACTGAAGCAGTGTTAGAGGTAGGAATTTTACAAATATAGTCTAAAATTGTAGAAAGCTTGTGTGCCACGTGGTCAGGTACATTTTGGGCAGGGTTTGATAGAACTGCCATGAGCATATCAGAAACTATATTTAGTATGTTTTTGGAGCTACGAATGTTGGTTCCGGATTCCATAGGGAAAGCGCAACCATTTTTGGATGGGGAGTAAGAGTAGTCCTGGATAAGGGCCTGATGGGCCTTCTTATCATAGCTGGGGGAAAGGGGGGCATGTGACTTAGGTTTGAGATGAACTGTTTTTTTATAGGACACTCTTTGTTGGGATGGTGATTTATTAGGAGACGAATCTATAAGGTTGACTGACCTTGAAACCTCAGCATAAGACCTTTTAACCATAGGGAAAACCTGGCTTGCTTCCATATACGAAATAGATTTTTCCGCCATCAAAGCTTTGATGCTCTTCTGGCGTCCTAATTCAGGGCATGCTTTGTCATTGGCAAAGTGGTTGCCATTGCAATTAATACAATGGGCAGTATCGGCTGAATTCTGGCATCCATCACCTGGATGGTCCTGTCCACACCTGAAACAACGCGGCTTCGAGCGGCAGAGAGTGCGGGTGTGTCCAAAACGACAACAGTGATAGCATTGTATGGTAGGATATGCATACAGTTCTACCGGAAGTGCTGAGTAAAAGCAAAATACCTTTTTGGGTAGGATTTGGCCATCAAAGGTAAGCACTACAGTTTGGGTAGGTTTCCATTCGGTACCGTTTATTGAAGTGATTCTGCGATTCATCCTCCTTGCCTTTATCACAGCCCCACAGCCGTTGGGAACCTTGATATTTCCAATGATTTCGTCCTCTGTCCATTCAACAGGGACGTCCCTCACAATACCCATTCGTGTTACATTGAATTGAGGGATTGAGGTAACATAGCTTTGAGCCACCATACTATTCACCAAGAAACTATTTTGCATCCTGGTGCGACACAAACTCCAACCGAAACTCGGTTCCTTCCCAGACGTTTAACACCACCAATCTTAACATTGTTAATGTTTTGTTTCATAAGAAACATTCCGAACTTAACCGGGTGTAGTGTGGTGCCAGACGTCTGAGCGTCCTTAAGGGACACATATACTACATACGGAGGGTTATCCCTGGCCGTATAACACTGTCTACCGTATACACTTTTCGCCAGTTTTGGAGGATTATTCATGGAGATAGGAGGGGAGCCTGCATGTCGTTTCCGACTGTTGGTGGGTTCTAAGTCCATTCTTTCAAAATTTGGTGTTGTATTGGGAGGAAGGGTAATGGTCAGAATTGTTTCAGTTTCGTATTCCGGCGATTTATCGGGAGGATCGGGTGGCTTCTCTTCGTCCATTTTGGGGATAAAAAGTAGGAAGAGGAAACAAGTGGAAAAACTTACTTAAAACTACCAATACCGAGATAAAACTTACGGACACAGTTAATTAGACAACACGACAACACAGAACTTAAAGGATTTCAGTTCACACTGAGGGGGATCACTAAAATAGTCAACAAACGTAGGAAAACGACAAAAGCACGTGCGTAACCTTCACCGCTACCAACGAAAAACCCATCAAATAATTTTGTGTCAATAATTGGGTATTTGACAACTATTCAAATTCAATACTTTTTTCGAACTGTCAAAAACGACAGTTTTCTATGAATTTTGTACGAGATTGTGTATTGTGACGTCACGTTTTTTTAGAGTCAAACATCATACTCATTTCTTAATAATTTGCTGGAGATATACTAAAATTAAGTTAGTCATAAAATCAATTAATGAAAGTGTGATTATTTTTTTATATTTTATTGTATTGAACAGTCAAAGTAATTTATTTTTGACTAAGGAAAGTACCCAATTACCGTGAGATGTACTGAGTTAAATGAAATATGCGATACGGTTTTCTTACATAAACTATTCGAGAAAATTTCTAATATATTTGGAAGCAAAGAAACGGAGCCAAAGCGTTTTTTCATTATCACTAACTTAATATCACGCCTTTTATCCCCGAAGCGGTAGGCAGAGGTGCGCATTACGGCACTTAATGCCACTGTACAATATAACACCCACTTTTCACTGTTTATGTTATGAGTCCCAAGTAATAGGGGGGTGAGCCTATTGACATATACCGGGATTTTTATTTTTATTTCTTGATTAATTTTTTCTAATACAAGTATTTCATTAATTTTTGTTTTTTTTTTTGTTTTTTTTTTAAAAAAACGTTGCCCCACACTAGGATTTTCTCCTGTGTCGTGGGTGCGTTTACAAACATACAATATCACATACACATGACACCCAGACCCGGAACAACAATCTGTGGATCACACAAAGAATTGTTCCGTGCGGGAATCGAACCCGCGACACGTTGCGCGGCAGCCAGTTGCCCAGCCACCGCGCCAACCGTGCATTAATTGGTTTAACATATGTCAAGACAATTAAGTCGTCATTAAAATGAGATCATTCTGTTGTAAAAGGAATATTTTCTAAGTTATAGAGGGTTTGATAATATGAAAAAAAAGCTAGTGGCTCTCTGGTATGGTGTGGTATGGTACGAAACTACACTTTGGAGCAGAGGCTCCAAAGTGTAGTTTCGTACGCCGTTTATATGAGTCCCGGTCAAACTTGAAACTAGACGAGTAGAAGTTACCTCAAATAGTTTACTTGTACATTTATGTTAATTTATACAACACAACCATATAATGTTTAAGATGCGACAAAAATAATTTAAATGGAAAAAAATGCTGGAATATATAGTAAAATTGCAATTTAAATTGTATTTACAGGAAAAAATAGATGCCATTTTTTTATTAGGTACTTATTTGTTTGAATGTAATATTATTAAATACCTTGTTTAATGTTATATACAGAACTTACATTTATGGAACTGAAGGTTAAATGTTATATTTTTATTCCCATTTTTCTAATGATCGGTAGTGATTTTTTTTAAGAAATAAGTAATTTATAATGTTAGTCCTTAACATTAATATACGTAAATGGTGTAATAAATATTTGTAACTAAAATAGAGACGACTGGCTGCCACATTAGAATCAATTAATAATATTTGTACTTAACTAAATAAAATTGAATTAATCGTGCACAGTGAATTCAATACGTTTTTAGAGAGCTTTTTCGATAGAGGGAATGTCGAATTAAAAAATGGGCCAAAAGCCCAGAGCTCTTTTGAATAAGACAAAACGATTATTACTTTTTAAAAGTAAACTAAGCAGTAGCTGCCTCTTTGGCCGAGTGGTTGCAAGTGCGACTGCCGAGGCAAGAGGGCTCGAGTTCAAATCCCGGATCAGCCAAAACAATACTGGGGTTTTAAAAAGCCTAAAAGTCTCTGCCTACCCCTTCGGGGATAAAAAGTCTGATATTATGTAATGTTTATGTAAAAAAAATAAACAACTAACCCATAAAATAAAAATCTTGCGACGCAGGAAGGTTTTCTTGAGTTGAATAAAATCAACAGTAGTTGCACGGTATCTGAGAATGATTCCAATGTTGGACATTAACTAATAACATATCTATATATAATAAATTAATAAAAATATTACAGTAATCTACCAATCCCTTCAAAAATTAGCAGCTCATTTTAAACTTTAAAATTTACAACATGACAGATATTATTTAACGCTGGCAATACTACAGATAATATTTTAGAGTGGCAACATTGGTCATGGATGTGAGACGGAATAGTACATTACGTAGTTATTACGGGTAGTTGTGTCTAGCTGCATAGACAACCGTCGTTGGAACTCGTCGCTCGCTTCTGCCTTTGTAGATTTACTACGCCTGGACCGTGTTCTCCCTGTAAAGTGATTTAATTAACTTTATTGTGTGCAAAAATATTTGTGTTACTGAAATTGCCTAATAAACCCTACTAAGAAATCATCGAATGACTTCTCCCGCCTGGGTGAAGCGGGAGGGAGTTTCAGACTCTCACTGACTAAAAACCACCCCGTTCCTACTCCAGCACTTCGAGCCGGAGCCCCGGTAACCTGTTAAGTCCTCCGCGGCCCCGTATCGGCATCAGCCCTATTGGACCCCATCTGTGGTGGTCAGGTGACATTAGTAGGAAGGCGTTGAGATTATAAGTAAATACTAGCTTTTACCCGCGGCTTTGTCAGCGTATTCTTGTTTTATCCAATGAGATCATTAATTCCGGATAAAAATCCTATCACCTGTATCATAAAAGAAGTAAATATAATCGTGGTAGTTTGTGTGATACAAGATCTATAATCATAATCATTTATCTGGGTCTTACCTCAACACTGACAACTCTCAGCGGCTGCTTGGAGTATAGTTTGTGTGCCAGCGTCATAAATATGGACTCCACATTGTCACACTCCGAGTCCAGTAGCGCTGACGTTTCAAATAACTGGAAATTAAAAGAAAACACAATATTTACAAAAAAAAAACAAGAGGCATTGGCTAACCACACAAATACATGTATTATAACTTTCGTGAGACATACTCAATATATTATTAGCAGTAGCAGCGCGATAGTCGTCGCGTCGCGGGTCGCGAATGAATATGAGCCTCTAGCATGGCTTGAAACTAGTCGAGTTCCTCGTCAAATTATTACGTAAGAAAGCCGAAAACATAATAATATACTACAAAACATGTACTGATAGCCGAATCTGCTTTAAACTCTGTCCCATCCTACAAAAGGCCTACGGAAAAATAGTTAAGTCTGATTTCCGATACTCCCGCCACCTATATTGCGCAGATAAAACAACTTGCGAAAACTTGCCTTGCCCCTTACAATCAGTTCGCTTTTTAAGGGGATTAAATATGTTAATTGTTTACTATATGACAAATACACATATGAATTACATGTTAATCACTAATATATTTCTACAAAATAATTAACATATCTATCTGATTAAAATGACTAATTGGTCTGAACTAAGTTCACCAGACAACCTTAATGAATCACTGATAGATAGTACTGGTAGATTACATTTAATGTTTCATTGTCACACACAATGAACAAAGCTCGACTGGGGTAAATATCTATACTACTCCTGTATCGCTAAATTGTAATTTGTTTGAAAATTTTTGATCATTATTACAATCTTATTGACCTTCACATAAAAAAAATCTCAATTGGCCTCTGATTTTATATAAAAAAGAAATCCCGATTGAGCTTAGTCATCACACCACATGTGAATAGATCGACCAGTGGAACTATAGTTAATCTAAAAAATAAGTAACTTATAATTTTTTATGTCTGTTAAATCAATACAACATTACAATAAGGGACAAACTTACAGGCATTCCATACTTGTCGGCGAGTCGTTGTGCGTATGTAGTGGCTAGTCGGGACTCTGGCGTGCCACAGTCACACTTGTTGCCCACCAGTACTCTCGGAGCACGCATTAGACCGTGGGACTCAACCTCTTGCATCCAACTTGCTATTGACTGGAATTACATAAAATAAAGATTATTATTAGTTTTATTTCACGATTTACTTTTGTGTCTTAGGTGCATTTATTCTTTTGTGTCTTGGGTGCATTTAAACACATATAAATTCACATACACAATACACCCAGACCCTGAACTACAATTGTGGATTACTCTTAGAGTGCCGCGACATACACTCTGAATTTGTTGTAGTGGTCACCAGAACAAGTGGGAAATTCTCTGAGACTGCTTTTAGTTAATTAATTATATCAAAATACATGATTTTTAAAAAATATAATTAAAAAACTTCTCACATGAAATGTCTCAGGTTTGGTGACATCATAAACAATGACTACAGCGTGTACATTCCTGTAGTAATGCTGCACCATGGACTTGCGGAACCGCTCCTGTCCTGCCGTATCCCATAGCTGGAGCTGAAATTACAGTAAAATTTAACTATGTTGTGATAAATTGGTTATAAATTATTAACCCCTCGAGCGTCCTTATGAGCACCCGGTGGATCATTAATGCATTTTCTTGCATGCATAAGGAATGCTTTTCTTTTTTATGGGAACACTCATAGCTAGGCTATTAACTACTTAACCTATGTAAGTCATAAGCCCAGAACCAGTGTAGCTAAATGTTCTGAACTATTATTACCCATGGTATGGGAACAGAATGTATGTTAGACTCATTTGTTTTCTATTGTGGCTCAAATTGCACCGGCATACAAAGTTAAAGGGCACCCCCTTCCCATGGGCACAGAATAAGAAATATGGGGAAACATCCTTGGTCAACAAGGTCATCAAATTGGAGAGCCAGCAAGTGGAGACAGGCTGGGTTGAATTATTCAAATAGTTTATAAGATGTAAACTGAAAGTATAAAGGATGTAAAAATGTTTTTATTTTATGATTATTTTACCATCACGCCTTTTATACCTAAGGTAGGCAAAGGTGCACATTACAGTACTTAACCCCTCGAGCATCCTTATGAGCACCCGGTGGATCATAAGAAAAAATGCTCCAAATGTCACGTGTGCACCCATTGGATCATAAGGTATGCGGACGCTCGACGGGTTAATGACGCTGTCAAAGGTACTTACTTTGTGTACCCCACTTTTTACTATTTATGTAATGAGTCCCATGTAATAGGGGGTGAGCCTATTGCCATATAGTCCATATAGTACCATAAGTCTGTGTTTATTTTTGTTTTTCTGTAGTATCATAGAAATTAAAGGTTGAAGTTGTATATTTTTTTGGTACTTTATCTAATCCAACTTTGCTGATTATGATAATGCTCAAAAGAAGGTAGTTTCCTTTTAAAAGCAAAAGTGGATGAAATGAAACTGTGACACAGATAACACAATGACATGTAACATATTTTATCTGTAAAAGACTTATTTAATATTTGTACCAGTTTATTGGGCACTTACTAGTTTCATTAAATTAATATTTACTTTCAATAATTTTATTGGAGTTGGAGGTATTGTCAAAGTTTATTTGACTTCAGTGTTGTCTGAATTGAAGATTGTTGATCTACAATATTGAATTGCTTTGCTAACTTATTTCTTTTAATATATAATAGTTGTAGAAAGTAACTTTCTCATGGTTACCTCCTATGTCGTAAAACCAGTTTTATTTGAATGAAAATAAGAAATGATTTAAAAAGAAGAAAGATGTCATATCGGGATAAGGATAGGTTGTGGGTAAGACTTGCCTTGCCTGGCCTCAATAGAAATACTGAAACATATGCCCCTAGGCCCCAGCAGGCTGACGTGGATAAAAATCGAAACTGTTTGATCTGCGATTCAATGTAAGTTTAATCGGACTTTCCTGCTATGTTCTATTGTAAGAAACATGATAAATTAGTGTGCTGTAAAGCTTTAAAGTTCGGGTTAAAAATAACGGTACGAAGCAGAACTAAATTAATAACGAGCGCAAAGTAAAATTCGCACGTCAAGAAACATGCAAGCATACGATAAAATATTACTAATATTTACCTTTATATCTTCCCCGCCAATTTTTATATTTCTTTCTCTGAAATCAACACCGATCGTGGCCTCAGATTTATCTAAAAATTGTCCTTCGCAAAACCGATAAGTTAGACACGTTTTGCCAACACCTGAATCACCTAACACTATAATTTTAAACACTTTCTTCAGTTTCAAACCTGGTATTTGCTGATTTGAGGCATCCGACATTGTTTAAAGCGCGGTAAACGGAAATTTACGGATAAAAGGTTAATAATCTCTTGAAATAATTAAACATCAATAATATTTTGAAACATTGTTTGCGTTATTATCAGTATTAACAATCCGAATAAATTAAAGAGTTTACTCTACATTGTGCAAAACTGTCATCGCGTATGAACTTGGCACAAGATAGAACGAGAAGGGGTATTGTTCTGCCTTACTTCTCTATTTAGTCAGCTTATACATCCTTTTAGTGCACAGATAACATATAAAAAACGATAAACATTGCCATAATATTGCCGACGTGACCATTTTGGTAGATTTTTACAAAGCCTGACAGCTTATAAATCTGAATTTATCATTAGATAATTAGAACCCAAGAATGCTTTAATCAGATTGAAACAGGATGCTTCAAACGCCGAACCAGGGTGCTTACTATTGAAACCAATGTCAATGCAATTTCCATCCAATCAAATCTGAATAATTATTCAATGTCAAATTTATACAGCCCCTATCGTAGCTGTTAAAAAATCAGAGTACGGAATATAAAGCTAAACTCAATACTATTTAGTTCATTAAATATCCACACAATTCGAATGAATTGGGCATAAGGTTTAGAACTCAAGTACGAACAACTCGTACGAAATATCACAATACCAATATTGGTTGATCTGAATTTGATTCAAGATTAAGACCCCAAATTCCTTCCCTATGTAACTCGGTAACTCCATACTTCTACTTAGGATCTTGTGTTACAATTCTCTCAGAGAGATTGGACTCTATAGAAATACCAATCTGAGGTATCAGTGAACGAGATATAAATGGCATGTAAAACTAGTGAACTGACCACCTCGTTAAGGACAGAGATGAGGTCTTGTAGTTGTGGTGATTGCTTAACTGACACATATTTTGGCATATTTTTTTAAAAAAATAAATAAAATTTAATATACCGGTTTTGCATAAAACAAAACCGATATTATGTGCCGAGAGGGAAAACATACAGCATTGCTTCGAAGAAGCAGTCGTATACTTTCAGCTCCATCTATGATCGACGTTAGTAAACACGTGGTTTCACCTAAATGTAACTAGATGGCGTTAGGTTGCACCAGCAAGACGCGCCGGAGCGTTAGACTTCGAATGTCATAGTCTTCACCAGGAAGAACTTCCGGCAATGCTGTATGTTTTCCCTCTCGGCACATAATATCGGTTTTGTTTTATGCAAAACCGGTATATTGATGTGCCTCCGGAAAACATACAGCATTGCTTTGAAGACGTGTTTGTTATCTGCTGGTGAAATGTATGTGCATGTAACACAACGCTATTTTGATTGATTATTCAGTAAATAAGTAAGACTTAGTACGAAAATAAGCTATTTATTCATTAATTTAACACTAGCCTACAATCCAATATAATATGAGACTTAATTATACCAACTATCAATAAATTAAATTGAATAATAAATGATTTAAAGAAAAATTAACTCTGTAATCGTTAGATTAGGCTGGTTTAAAAGTACCAAAGAATGGATTACGATTATTTTTTGGAAGTGCTATCTCACGACAGTAATGATTAAAAAATGTATTAGAAGATTTCCAATTACCCCGTGACAAAATTTCATCTATTGGTTGATTATCTGACCACCCCAGGGAAGCCACAGCCGATCTACAGCTTCCTGGGGGTGCCTGAATCCCACTATCTCTCAACACTGATCGTATCCAGTTTCCTATGACAGTGCGGGACGCCGCTTTAACATTTTTGTTTACAGTAATAAACAGACAATTTAAGCCATCAACTTCCAACCGTCTTGTTTTATTTTTGTCGTTTAAAAGTCTAATCAAAGTGACCGGGCATATGTTTTTATCATGATGTTTAGAAAACTTCCATGCAGATTGACGATAATTATGTGTATCAGTTTTAGAACCAAAATCTGGTATTAAATACAATTCTTCACCATTATCAAAGAAATGATTATTTGAAATTTTAAGTAAAGTTAAATCATGGACTCTTCTTCCCGAAGCTAATAATAAAACAGTAGCCGTTTTGCGAGCTAAATCAAATAAATTGTCTTTAGGAGGGTTAATTGAAAGCCAGTCCAATACTATTTGTGGATCCCATGTAGACGATGGTTTAGTAACTTTAGGTTTAGCTACTCCTATTGCTTTAAGGGTATGTTTTATAATGAAATTAGATAAAGGTTGTTGCTCTACGTGAGGTCCACAGAAGGTTAAAACTGCTGATTTATGTACAAGAATAGTGCTGTAGGATAAGTTTTCTTTTAAGAAGAGATACATTAAAAATTTTGCAACATCAGCTGATCGTGGAGATTTTGGGTCTACTTGTCGCGTAGAACACCATGAAAGCCATCTTTTAAGCGCTGGAATGTATGTGGACAGTGTAGAGGGTCTCCAGCTTTTCTTCAAAAGGTCTTTTTCTTGTAGCGACCATTCCTTTATGTGTGCACCCCACCCCCAATTTTCCAAACTTTCAGGGTTAATGTCTGAGCCTGTGGGGAGGTTGTAATGTCGCGAAATCTATCATGTTCTCTACTAGATTCTGAAGCACCAGTGGATGGTCCAAAGCTCTTGATTTCAGATCTTGAAGCCAGAACGCCCGGGGCCACTCTGGTGCCACAATCAGGTAAATCCCCGTGGCCTGGTTGAGATGGGCTAGGACTTTTGGTAGTAAGGTTGGTGGGGGGAACACCCAAGCCCGTCGATAACACCATGTTCTGCTGAAGGCATCTATATAACTTGCCGATTGATCTCTGCAGTCTATCGATACATAATTTTGCACTACAGCGGTTTCTCGTGACGCAAATAGGTCGATCTCCGGTCGACCCCACCTCCGAAAAACTTCCGCAGTTGCTCGGGGTAGAAGATGCCATTCTGCTGGACGTTTTCCGCGAGATAGTCTGTCTGCTATTATGTTGTACCTCCCTGGTACGTACTGTGCGGATAGGGTTATCTTGAACTTGTCGATTAGGTGTAAGAGCTCGAAGGTTAGGTTTAGTAAAGCTAACGATCTGGTCCCCCCTTCCTTCCGAATATAAGCAATCAAGGTCCTGTTGTCCGAAAGGACAAGTACGTGAGTTCTTTGCAACAACTTTGCATTTTCTTTGATTGCAGCCAAAACAGCGTACAGCTCTTTTTTGTTGCTGTGCCATTTTGTTTGTTGGGGTGACCATGCTCCTGATAATAACTTTCCGTCTATGTGGGCTCCCCATCCCAAATCCGAAGCGTCCGTCGCCAGGAAATGGGTAGCTGGCTCCTTGTGTATGGGCATACTGTGGCGTGTAGCTCCGCGCCACCACGTCATATTCTGGTATACCATTCGAGGAATGGGCTGTTTCTGGCGCGGTCGTTTCTTGTCGAAATGTCGCAGAAAAATCTGCATTTTTCGGCAATGTAGTCGACCTCGTGGTATTACGAAATTCGCAAAATTCAGTTGACCTAGTAGGCACTGTAACTCTCGAAGACTGATGTGGTCTCTGTTTAACAATCGACTGAGCGCATTGTTTAAGTTTTGAATTCTTTTTATTGGCAGTGACATGATATTCCCGGCGGTCTGCCACCGAATGCCCAGATATTCCAGATCCTGTGTAGGTGTCAAAATTGACTTTTGGTGATTGATCTGCCAGCCCAGTTGTTCCAAGTGCCTCACGGCTTCCGCAGCCTGATGACATAACTTGGATTGGTCCTGATGGACCAAAAGGAAGTCGTCTAGATAGACTAGAACCCGACATCCCTTTGCACGCAAGGTCTCCGCGACCCAGCATGTTACGGCCGAAAAAAGGTGAGGCGCTGAGGCCAGACCAAACGGTAGGCATGACATTTCGTACAAACGATCTTTGTAACTGATCCTTAAAAATGGACGGTGGGATTTTGCAACTGGTAGGTGAAAATACGCCTGAGAGATGTCTATTTTTGTCATCCAATCCCCAGGTTGAAGGAAATCTGGTATTGAAGCATGAGAAATCAGACGAAAGTGTTTTGTCTTTACAAATTCGTTCAGTTCTCGAAGATCGAATATAGGGCGCATCGTTCCGTCGCTTTTCTTCCGAAGAAAAAGCTTGGAAACGAAACTCGGTGTTTTTGTGGTAACCGGTATCAGTACACCTTGATTTACAAGGTCTTTTATAATCAAAGACATTTCCGGTGATGGTTTGGTTGCATATTGCGTTAAAATTTTTTCCGTAGGCATTAACAAGGGAGGTTTCTTGTAAAAGGGTATTCGAAACCCCGAGATTGCAGAAATGATGAAATCGTTGGCACCCAATGCTTGCCAATGATTCCTGAACATTTTTAGGCAACCCCCCCTGAATTGTGGTACTGCATAGTCATTTTTTGTTATCTTTGTTTCGAAAGGAAGAATTTTTAGATTTGTAGCCGTCACTTTTTCCTTTGTATGGTTTTGTTTGCTTTTTGAGGGTATCACGAAAATTTTTGTTCTGTGGTTGTGATTTGTATTTTGATGTAGAAGGGGTTGCGTCTTTATTATATTTATTTTTGATTTGGTCCCTAACTATAGATTTAGTGGCTGTTGGTGGTGAAATCCAAAAATGGGGCCCTCCGAGGGATTGAATCAAAGACATAAGCTTCGGTTTGTCAAATAAAAATTCTTCACTAGGGGGTATGTTACTAAGTGCAGCTTGAATACTTTTATCGGAAATTTCGTTAATTAGTCTTTTGCGCCTGGTTTCAATGCACTCAGCCCTCTTGCCGCAAATTATTTGTAACGTCTGCTCAGATAATTTGTAGGACTGCGATGTCGTCCCAAACGACTCCGTAATTTTGTTAAAAAGATTATCGGGTATTAATTCCGTAGGATTGCCGTGTGCCCAATCAATTATCCCTTGTAAACCGGACTGTAACAGTTCCCTTTGTTGCAATAAGGCATTGGTGGTGGCAGCCATAATTTCTTCTGTTGAAGCTAAGAAATCTTTTCCTTTACTCAAACAACACATTTCATCGTTAATTTTTAAATTACAGAAGCCTGGAAAAGCAAGTAAATCTGCCAACGCCTTCTTGTAACGAATGTGATGCCACGCAGGCATATTAAATTGTTGCAGGTTTATTAACTGACGTAATAATTTGTCATTAGCGGGTTTGAGCACTTTTTTCTCGTCAAATACAGTCTTACAAAGGCCTAGGTCTAAAGATTTTGGCGTTTGCGTCGACGGATTACACAAAAAATCGTTTTTCGTATTATCGGGTAGTTTATCCTCATTTTCACTAGAGTTTGCGCTCGTAGTAGGCACACATTGTCGGTGCATAATAAAGTTTGTAAGAAAACATACCTGGTTGTATAACGCGTCGATCCGAGGATCGACCGTTACCTCAGTTTGTCGCTTCCGTTTTTTGCGAGGGGGTTCCTCTTCGCTTCCTGATGAACTGCTGTCTTCAGAGGTGTCCTGCTCTTCTTGATCGGGGTCCCTCTCGTTCACCGGTGAGCCCGAAACGACCGGTCGGTTGGCAACGGAAGCCTCCTCGACCTCGATGTCGTCAACCGACGCGATATTCATTGCAAATATCGAAAAATTTAAGCTTAAGTTAATTTAGGAGTTTAGACTCACTTAAGAAGGTTTTTTAAAAATATTTTTATATTCAAAGTACTTTTGCACAAAGATTTACACTTAAGTTGTAATATCGACCGAACACGGCGAAAGTACACAACGCTATGACATTCGAAGTCTAACGCTCCGGCGCGTCTTGCTGGTGCAACCTAACGCCATCTAGTTACATTTAGGTGAAACCACGTGTTTACTAACGTCGATCATAGATGGAGCTGAAAGTATACGACTGCTTCTTCGAAGCAATGCTGTATGTTTTCCGGAGGCACATCAATAAACAATATATGTTAATAATCAGGTGTTGGGAACTAAACATTAAATCAATATTATCATGTGTCGTTAACAGATTTACAAACAAAATTTAATCGATCTCATGTGAATTGAGATTGATTTTTACTTTCATTGTTTTAATTTCCATCAAAAACTTACATCGATCCAGAGATTTTGGCACAAAATCGTCATTTCGCTCGCATCTCTCGTAACTTAAAATTTACTTACAGAATTGGTAGAATGTGATTAACTAGCTATGGCAATTCGTAACGGTAGAATTTAAGTCACAGTACAGTAGTTTTTTTAGAAATGTCCGACGGACGAGCTGTGGGTCGCGGCTGTAGTGACGTTTATTAATATTTTTATTAGAAAATATACCAATTAGAACGTTATTTGTTGCTTAAACTTTGTGTTGTAAAGTAAATGAGGTGATTTGCGATAAAGTTTGGTTAAAAACCGGTAATACCGTAAAGATTACTGTATAACCTCTTCGTCTGGACAATCTATAATCTTTCTCGTAATTGAAGCTAAAAATTCTTCAGCTCGCGATAAATGAAAGTGTTGTTTACATTCCGTGAAGTGTATGGTGTGCGAATCCTACGCGTTGTGTGTACGAATCTGTCGTTAAGCAGTTACGTGCTGGAAAAATGTGTAATCGAGAAGCTTTGTGTTTAAAATGAGTGTAAATTCGTGTAATCCAATTACAAAGTGTATTTGTTGTATTTGTGCTGGAATGTTGCCGTAGGAGTGCAATGTCCAGGCTCGTCGACTACTTCGTTATTGTGGGCTTCGACCACGAGAAGGAGAGTAAGTAAAAAACCTTATAACTTTGGTACCTACACAATTAATTATTCCAATCACGTATTGATATGCGGACTTATGTGGCGCGAAAAACTATCAACAGGAACAGGCTGAATACGTAATTAACCTTTGCTTATCTTTGTAAAAAAAAACAACAATTAAGAATTTGTATTGGAAGTTAACCTGGAGTATAATAAAATAAGTTGCGCAATGTTTAAATTCTTATCAGACTTTTATTATAGTTTCCAATATAATTTTATAACACAGAATACTAAAGAAAGTGCAATTTGTACATAAGTAATATCAAATAAAAAATGTTCGAATGTCTAAACAATGCAAATATATGGTTTATTATCTGTACACAAGTTAATTACAGTTTTAGTACAATTTGAATAAATTCTAAAGTCAGTGTTTAGTGTTGACATACTTTCTCTACATTTTGGTGAATCACAGATAAAATATCAGGTGTATGCATAAATGAAATTGCCTTTTTTAAATAAATTGCATAATTTTGTATAGATCAACAATGACCTACATGTTAAAAGTCATGAGAGAACAATATTTTGAATTTTTGTACACCAGTTGTAAAGTAGTTCCTACTTTTTTTTTGGAAGAGGTTTGCAAACTAATGTAAGGAACATGATGAACAAAGATTGCTTTTAACTCATTGAGTACCGCCATTATAGACACAATTAAAGAACAATAGGTTGCGGTCACCGGTGACCGCTTGGTGTTTGACAGTTTATAAGTTTCTTTTATGATTCTGAGACTTGAAATTTAGAATGAAAGCTGTGCCGTATTAACACTCTTTAACCCTTTGAGTACCTTCATTATAGACACAATTAAAGAACAATAGGTTCGGTCACCGGTGTCTTTGGGGTGTTTTACAGTGAAAAGAATTGAGTTGACTTTTCTATTACACATACATATAATTATTTCGAACGTTTAATACAATAAAATATAAAAATATTATCACAAATTCTTTACTTAATTGATGACCAACTTAATTTTAATATTTTCCAACAATTTTTTAAGAAATAAGTATGATGTTTGACGCTAAAGAAATGTGATGTACATACACAATTTCATACAAAATTCATAGAAAACTGTGGTTTTTGACAGTTGGGAAAAGTATTCAATTTGACTAGTTGGCAAGTACCTATTTGCATTCTTGCTGGATTGTAAAGATCACTGTAATACCCTTAATATTGTTGTAGGGGTTGTAAATCCCTACAGTGTTGATTATAAGTTTATGTTGTAATGTTGAATGTTGTTTATGTTAAATGAGTAGACAACCAATCTCTTAGATAGTTTTATTGCTACTGAATTATATTAATTATGTAGTTTACAATGTTCAGTAATGCTGATTACGATGATTTAATTATTCGCGCGTATGACGACAAAGTCAATGTACAGCGTAGCTCGTACAATTGTAATAGTTACCCTAAGTAATTTTTTTTATTAGCAACAATAATAGTTATTCAACTACAGTATTTCAACGGTAACTTCTTAGTCAAATTATTTTTTATTTCCTTTAATATAGCTACACATTTCTGTTATTCCTTATTCAGAATTACCAACTTAATTATCATAATACATAGTTAGGAACGACTGGAATGGCTGATGTAATACTTTTAGAAAAACACACAAGCATAGGCATTTTTACATAATTAACTCATTGAAATCCATCCCCTTAATTTGATCATACAAAAGTAGTCTCAAAACATTGGAAATAAGGTCTATAATGTAGTTAGTAGAGAGCGGTCACCAGTGAGCTTAGGGATATATGGGTTGAAGCTGATATGTTACAACCAGCTAATCAACATTAGTATATTATGTTGCCTTTTTTATAGGCACCTAGGACATGGCTCTAGAGCCTGGAGCCTCGCTGAGTCTATAGTCTCCAAACCAATCTCCTTGCTCTATCACCTCTTTTTATCATTTTTAATGGTACATAAATGCAGCTATCAACTGCAGTGGACCCCTATGACAGTTAACTATAGTTATGTTATAAATGAGTCATTCAAGTTCATTGACAGTGCATAGTTATCTGTGGTCCCTACTATAGTCTGTGGTGCATACCAATATGCTTATTTAATAGGCCACTTCATACTTCCCTGTTTGGGGTATGCAATGTAGAAATGAAGATATAAAAATTAATAATTCGAGGTAAAATATACATGCGTTAAAAAATATAAAAAACAGAGAGATACAATTCTAATATATTCTCCCTCTCCTCTTATTAAATAGGTACCAACTTAATCTGAAATGACGCCATTCTTTTACGTCTAATCGTTTTATGATTTTATCATTATAAACACTAAATACTGGCAGATGTTAACTTTATTCTATGCTTAATAATTATCTGTTGATTGGAAAATCAACTCTTACTATGATAAACTCGAAAACTCCTGAACAAATTCGCGTATGATTTTTACCAGTGAATAGGTTGATTGATACTAAATATTTTATTCCATAATTGATTAAATTATGATTTCGCAGCTCAGAAACAACCGCTAGTTTTCAAATTTAATTTTTTTAACAGTTACAAAGGATATCCATATCACACTAAATTAATTAATGTTATCAAAACAAAATAATGGCTCTAGCCAATCGCCTAATAAATAACGGAATTACAAATACTGTTACTTTATTAAGTCATCTAATATTGACATAGATTCCGATACTATGTAATAATGAGGCGTGTCCACCTGTTTGTATAAATAAACGTCTACCACGAACATGACGCCTTGGTAATTAACACTCTGTGGACAATAAACTCCTTAGGGGATCCTTTTTAATTATTTAGGGAGTCAGTTGGTACTGGAGCGGTGATGCGTCGTTGTTTTTTTAATAACATTACCCCTAATGAACCGTTTTCAAGCTACAAGGTCTTTATTTAAAAACACAAACTCATATGCAGTTGGTTGTTCCGCGTGCCGAAACTAATCAACTAGGACGAGCTGGTTCACCAGCCTGCCTCGTTGGCCGAGTGGTCGTAAGTGCGACTGCCGGGCAAGGGGTCTCGGGTTCGATTCCCGGGTCGGGCAAAGTATTACTGGGTTTTTAAATATTCACAGTAGTAGCACGGAGTCTGGAATTGTGCCCGGTATATGGCAATAGGCTCACCCCCTATTACATGGGACTCATAACATAAATAGTGAAAAGTGGGTGTTACATTGTACAGTGGTATAATGTGCACCTCTGCCTGCCCCTTCGGGGATAAAAAGGCGTGATGTTATGTTATGACGAGCTGGTTTACAATGTCGGTAATTTGCTCCTAACTTTTGTGATGTTACGGGAGATCCGACTGCTCGTTTGTGAATAAAAAAACGAACACGTGATTCTTTAAACAGCAGACAGTAACCCACTCACTGTGCCAACTGTATGTACTGTCAAAATGTTTCCGAGTTATACACATCCTAGCCAAAAACTATCAAAAATAAAACTAGTGTTCTAACGGCGGAACATTGCCAGACGACAACAAATAGACTAACTGGCCCATTTTTCACTATACAAATATTAATTGCTTAGCATTCTTTGAATTTTTGTATCTAGATCTACTAACTAGTAGTTACAGTAATCTAGAAATAGTTTTTTTTCTGGAATGGTAACCGAGTGTCCGATACAATGTGGTCGACTATACTGCCAGTATCGAGCTAAAAAGAGTACTTAGAAACTTGTAAATTATGTCATCTGCAGTCCGTGACAGTGCACTTCGGGATTATGTTTATCCTCTACGTAAAAGATTTTGGGGATCGCAAGGGGCAAGGGGGTTGGCGATCGCAGTTTAAAAGGTTCAGATTAATCAGAAAACCTTGATGTCCAATCTCTCAAAGGGATTACTCCTTACGGCCGAAATCAGCAACCGATTTTAATCCACGATCAATCTAAGATTAATTTCAGTCGAGCTTCTTCGACACCCTCGAACAGACTAGGGCTGGTGACAATTAATGTAATAGTTATTATATTCTGCTGTCTTCACATGGCTTGTCAAAACAATATTATACAACTTGTAGATTCAAGAATAATATTAGTTACTGTGAATAAATTTCTTGAGCGCGCGTCTAAATTGATACCAAATTCATTTGGCCTTGGAGCCGTACACGTTAAATAGTCAGAACTGATCTCATTGTATTGATTTATTTATTGGTCTATGACGCGAGTCACTCAGAGACCACAGACCACTTGTGACAATTATTTTAACAGTAGGTTGTTTTAGTTTTCGCTTATTGTTTCTAAATTGTATGGTTGACAAATTGAAATTTGGACTTGCGAAATCGGCAATCCACCCTGGCAGACGATTAAGTTTCATTCCTCCTCCATGGAAGAACAGTTAACAGTTACAAGCTGATGATTATGAAGGCAATTGCAGATCTTTGTTAATGTGCCTAGAAAAGGTTCGCCGCGATATACTATGCTATGCTAGAAGTCTAGAAATAGTGATCAGCCAACGCTATTTTGTGTTTTGATTCCTTATAGATATCACCGCAAAGAAAATTTTTTAGTTAATGCGTCCTATGTGTTCTACTGCCTTATGAATAGCTGAAGACTACTACTTCAGTAGTAGTAGCTGAATAGTAGAAGTAGGTAACTACATCTACTACCTAGTTACTAACCGTTCGCTAGAATAATTCATAAGCTGAATGGTGACAAAATCAAGGAAAATATGAATTTAGCACGGATTTAATGTTTTTGGTGTGCCTATGAACTGTATGCAATAATAACACACAGTCATTGATTAATTAATATTTGTCTTCTTAAGTTTTCTCTCGTTGCAATTTCTTGTTAAAAATGGTGCCAACTGCCAACATATTCGCAATCGCCTGCATACTTCGCTAGTTTCAGATATATTTTCATTTTTACGTATTGTTGGAAGAAAAACGTAATACAACCTTACGTTGTATTACGTTTTATTAGCATAATAGTAATTTTTCATTGTTCTCTCATTACAATGGTGGACGCGGAATTTTATAAAGAGGTATAGGAACATTAAGAATTCGCCT